ATTTAAATTTTTATTAAAAGAAAAATTTTAAAGTTACTATTAAAAATAGAAAAAAATAAGTAAGAAGTGAGGAAAAAGAAGATTTATAAAAAGTATAAATTTAAAATATTTCAAAATTTACTGATTAAGATCTTTTTAATGTTAAAAAAGAGTTAAAAAATATAAGTTTTTTTTTAAAAAATTTAAATTTAAAAAACATAAATAATATCAAAAAATGAGTTTCACCAAACATACTCAAAAAAAGATTTGAGGAGAATAAAAAAATTTTTAAAAAAAGGAAAAAAAAAGGATAAGCATCATATTAAGCCATTCATCACCTATGTACGGTCTCCATCCATCGGATGTCCCTTTTTTATAAGGTAGAACTAGCTTTTTTTTTGGCCCTACATTTTGCGTAAATAAGCAACCACAGATTTAATACCATGTCACTATCGTAACAGTTCATTGTGAAATAAGACTGATATAATCCGAAATAAGGAAAAACAAGATTCGCATTTCCAAAATCGTTTTTGGACATGATCAAATCGTATTCTGAATGTAACAAACTCTAATGTGGATCAGAATTACAATCAGAGCTACCCTCATGAACATACAACCTAATCATGCCTTGCACAGCCTCCATGCACAATGCAAATAACATATGCAACAATGATTTGATGCCATTTAAGAAGATTGTTCCTTTATCTACCTGCGACCCCCCTTTCCCCCCTTTCCACCCTTTACTCCCTTTTTGTCGAAGTGGTGACGCTTCAGCTTTTTCTTGCGCATGTCTGCAGCAGGACCACCACCACCGCCTTCTCTGAATGGCATCCCCATAAGAGACAATAGTTTCTGACCTTCCTGATCGGTGTTGGCTGTTGTAGTGATGCAAATATCCATTCCCCTTGGTTTGCCGATTGTATCGTAACTGATTTCTGGAAACACACTCTGATCACGAATTCCGACGCTAAAGTTCCCATGTCCATCAAAGCTGTTGGGGTTTACACCTTGGAAATCCCTTGTCCTAGGAAAACCTAAGTTAATGACCCGATCAAGGAATGAGTACATAACCTGTCAAAATAATCAACAAAACATTCATCATAAAACATTGCTCCTTCAAATGTACACAAAATAAGTGGGGATGAATAGCCGTTTAGAGCTCCACAGATAAATGACAATTACACAAGTGGGATTATACTCTCACCATATACAATCTCTAACTAACAAATCAATATGGCTTGGATTACCAACATAACAATTGCAACATTACACTGCAAAATTATTGTCCCACAACTGACATGATATTAGCATCATCATCCCCACCCATTAACTAAACTTGTTAATAGGAATCAGCACGCTGTGATAATCCTTACCACCTTAAGCATCAAGAAATTTCTGCCATAACCAAACTGAAACTCCAAAAAATTCAATAGTTCCTCACCAATGTGACAATATACTCAAT